GGGGGCGGGCGGCGCGGCAGGGGGGGGAGCCGGAGAGCTGCGCGCCGACGCTAGACGGAAAGCTAACCTCGAAGGCGTCCAAAAGCTTTACCTTGGCAGCGTGCAGAGCGGTGTCGGAGCGAAGACGGCCAGACCCGAGAGGGCGTTCGACGCCGTAAAAACCCTGAGTTAAAACCCCACAACTAACCCGCCTCGTTCCGAAGTGAAACGAGGAGCAAAAAGCTCCTTCTGAGGCGCTAGAGAAGCGAATTCTCGCCTTGCTGCCCTTCTGTATCCTTAGCTGTAAGTAGGGATGTTTGCGGTGGCAGGTTTCGCAAGTAAATTTTTTGCGACGCGTGACGCGAGCTCTGCATCGGCCGTCCCGCTTGACGGTACCCAGCGTCAGCAAATAGATGTTTTGCCCCGGCCAAACGCGAGGTCGGCGACGTAAGAGCGTTAACGCGTAGCTGGCGTTCGGAGGACGGGAGGAAGCGACAGGCTGAGTCAGGATCTGTTTTAGGTCCAGTAAAGAACCTGAGCTCCGAATAAGACCGTCGGGAAGGACCATCTGCTTTTTCCTGAAGTCGTTGAGCTCCTGCAGAGGGAGCAAAGACAGCTGGCAAAACGATCGAGCTTTTGGGGAAACTGAGTCAAAAAGTCCCATTCCAACCGTCCGCGTAAAGCGCCGGGCAGCAGCGTGCTCGCGGTCTCGGAGCCCTTATTTAAAGGAAGGGTTTGAAAGGAAGTAAAAGCTGTGTCAAGTGAAAAACGAAGCGAGTGGAACTACAAATAAGAAAAACGCGTTTGATCAGCAGCGATAGTTATTAACCGCTGGAAGAACAGGCTGAGGGGTGTTTTGGGTTTGTCGTTGCGGGAGGCTTTCTCCTGCCGGAAGAAGCTCTTGTCCAAAAACGCGTCTCGTGGAGGCGAGGGGTGCTGGATAGGCTTCTCTGGCCCATTTTCTGCGAGAGGCTGAACAAGATGGGGCTTGTTCTTGTAAACATGTTAAAACCAACTCTGGGTTTTGCTTCGAAAAATCTGCATTACGCTGTGTTTGAGCCTTGTTAACCCTTCCAATGCCCTTGCTATGGTGAGTTTTGGGGAAGACTGGCAGTGAGGGAGCCATCAAACTTTCCGCGAGGTGAACCAGAAGGGGATGCCTTATGCTCCCGCCGTGTTGTTGCTTTAAACGGTTTTAATTGCCACTTAGAAACAGGATGTCTGGTCATGAAATCCCCCACTGGCAGAACTGTAGCATTCATACATCTATATGATGCATGCAAATATTGGTTATGAAGCCATCTAGCTTCTGCAGAAAAATGTCACGTTATGTTCTGGTAGCATGCCAAACGCAGCTGGCCTCGCTTCGCGCCTTGGCCATCAGTCCTTGCAGTGGGAAGGCGTTGGGTTAGTTACCGAACTCTTCGGCTCGGCTTAAACCCCAGCAAATAGCGATATTTTAAAGAGGAACTTGAATACGTTGACTCTTGTGAATACAACCATAATCTGAACCTTTACCTCTTACGTTTTCAGCTCAGAATGTGACTGTTGATGAAATCATGACAGCCTACAAACAAGCCTGTCAGAAGCTGAACTGCAAGCAGATACCCAAACTACTGAAGCAGATACAGGTAGAGCTCTTACTTTCCCAGTACAAACAAAGCTAAACCCGTTTGCCATTTGAACGCTGAGAAAGTATTGGCAAAGTCAGCTTGAGCAGCCTAGAACTAAACGTACCAATTTGCTTGTTTTATTAAAACGTGACTGTCTGTTATGCCTTGCGGTATGATTTTAGTTGTTTGCGTGTCGGTTAGAAACGAGCACTCTCGTTTGAATGGCTTGAGCAGGTTTCTTAACAGATGAGCTATTGCTACAGAATGCCAGTAGCTAAGGAATTTATTAGTAAAATATTATGCATAATTTAACGTGATACTGGGCCCTGTTTTCTTCTGTGGTTGTACTGATTTCCAATCTCTTGATAGCTGCTGAGACTGCATCTGCTTCTCCTCTTGCTGTCTTGCTTTTCTATGATGATAATTATAGCCCTGCTAGCATCAGTGGGTGCTAGACATGGGCTCTGTTTTTAACTTCCCTTCCAGCTCCCCCTCCCCGACGTAGCAGGATTTTTAAGCCGGAGAATGAGACTAAAAGGAGTGGTTTTTCAAAGCAGTTTATACTTTTAATATTACTTGAAAAGGGATTCTGCACATGCTCCTTGGTGGAGGTGAAGCATGCAAAGAGAGACCACAACTAACGCAGTGGTTTTTCCCTGTTCGCACGCAATGAATGAAAGCCTTATTTAAAATCTCAGTTTTTAGAACATGTTGGATCATGTTTTTAAAGGGTTAGCTCTTTTCTCAGCCTCGATGTGTCCTGCGAAGTAAGTGAATGTGTGACTGCTTTAGCCAGGTTCATCTGAAAAGTCCCAGACAGTCTATACAGAAGGATTTTGACTTCTAATATACTTTTAATAGAACAAGAGCCCAATTGACTCCCATTAGACTTAGCTTTTTCACTCGCTGTACCTTCCCCAGGCAGCTGGTGAAGGTCAGACCCTCATCGCCATCTGGCAGACAGCAAAGGGAATGAGGAGAACCCTTTTAGTAGGACTTCAGGACTGCATTTCCAAAGGAGAGTTACCAGCTGTCCTCCTGACTCGCACAGACTCAGCCTGATTATCTGCTCCTTACAGACTGCAAAGTACTGCAGAGCATGGCTTTGAGAAATGTTGCAAAATTTGCCCTTTTCCAGTGAACTTTGGCCTGAGAGCTACTATGTCCTGCCTTAGTTTGGGGGAGGATTTGCCCGGTTTGTCATGTTACTTCATTCTAGTTCATTAATTCCCCCTTCCTCCCCCTGAATATGAAGTGTTTTTTCTTTTAACAGGAATTTAAAGATCTGGCTCCCAGGATAGATTGCTTGGATCTAAAAGGTAAGCCCCTTTCTCATCACCCAGGTGAATTTGTTTCTGTTTGGCATCTTGGGCAATATCTGTATTTTACTCCGTTTGTGCAGCTCTTAAATCAATTGGAGTCGTGGTCCCAGTTGGGGCACTTGCAGGCTAGAGCAGAAGAGATGCTTAATCCCAACGAAACCAGAAGAGTAAGTACCAGAGATGTTTCTGTATGAGGAATATTAACATCCTGGTCCAGGAGCGCTGAATTAGCAGCAACACGGCTTCAGCAGTTCCACAAGCCCCCTGAGGACCTGAAACACTGACTAGCAATACAACAAAATGTCCCCCCACCATCCCCAAGCGCTGTCCTTAGACCTGCTGCATGATACAATATCCCAGAACAGCTTGGAGGGGGGTGTGAGTTAGGGCTGAGTCAGAACAGATTTTCTACAAGACTTTGATTGACGTTTTTAAGCTCCCCAAGTGATGGAAAACTTGCTACCGCCCTTGGAAAGGTGTTCCAAGTAATTCTTCCTACAGTAAACATTTTTACGTGATTACTTTTGTATCGCTTCTCCCTTAGCCCTGGGGAACAAAAGTGAAAAGGTCACCTTCATTTCCCTAAAAGGTCTCCGCTAGACGAACCTTTTATTTGCATTCTTCTTACTGTAGGCTACTGCCTTTCTCCTCTTGCCTTCCACTGGTCTCCTTAGCCAGCAGCTTGTTCTCCTCAGCTGTGTTTGGAGAGCTTTTCCACGTGGCCTTTTTCATTACTGGTCTTCCAAGTTGTCAAGGAGGCAGGTGGATAATATTGCCCTGAGCGCTTTGGGTGAAACCTCACTCCTAGTTCATCCAGGGATATTTTTGGTGTTCCTCATCTCAGCTCTTGGGCATCCTGGCATTGTCTGCTGAGGTCCCTTTCCTACTTTTCCTGGTTTCTAGCGAAACTCGGAACGAATGTGAGTGGATTGGGTTACTCACATTCCTCGAATTTACCAAACTGCCTCTTACTTCCCTATTCGCCTCTCCAACCCGTCAGGAATTGCAGCAAAGCACCACTCTTCGAGAACGGGCGACGCACCTAAGCCTTCCGCTGCGATAGTGGCTTAGTTTTCCAGAAGTGCTCAACGGTCAACAATTTTGCGGTAAATGCTCATTTGACCTCTCCCGTCTCTTCTGCCAACTTTGCCCCGGGGGCAGCAGCCACCCGTGGAGCTCAGGGCAACGGTGGGAGGAGGCAGTTTGTTAAATGTCCGCTGCGAAAACTGTCAGAAATCTGGTCCAAGCGGCTATCGTGTGCTTTAGGCACTGTGAACTCGCCTGGCAACACGAGCTGGATCAGATGCAAGCGCGTAGTTGTTTCCGAGAGCCCGTGAGAGTGTTTGTGCTGGAAAGACGGTTAATACCCGATGCGGCATCGGGTTCTCTGGGCCAGATGAGAAGAAAGAAGTTGAACCGTCGGAGCGAGGTGGTGCTGCTTTGCATGTGGCGGTTGCAGTGGTTTTTATCACGTTCTTGGCACCTTACGACAGAACTAGTCTCCTGGGGGCTGCGGCTTTAGGTGTTTAATAAGTAGCGCTTGTGCAGTGTTGTCACTTCTTCGCTGTCGGGGAACAAACGCTTCACGCGCGCGTTAAGCTTAGCAGCAGCGCTGGACTCCTTTCTTCAGAGCCAGGAAAACAACTGCGGTGGGTGAACAGCTTGTAAGCAGCTGTTACAAACCCGAGAAAATAACTCACTCGTTTTATTGAGCTATGGCCCGAGCTTGCTTGGTTGTGTCCTGAGCTGATTCGTTCTGGGGTGTCGATGTGCTGCTGGAGTAACACTAATAAACATGAGTTTGCCCAAATGCACACAAAAAACCATATTGTGCAGGTCCTGATGCAACCATTTGAACTAAATTTTGCCAGACAGCGTTCCTGCTTCCTTTTCATAAGTGCCAAAGCTGCTTGCTCTCTAGGCAGAAGTAATCTTACTTTCTGCCCAGAAGTGGAAGTGGGGACTTTTTTCAGAAAGTCCTGAATGATTCAGGAGCCCAACTGCAGTTGCCTTGTGTCTTTGTCAGAACCACTTTTCGGAAAGCCTCTGTGAACTTGATCTGCCTCACCAGAACGGTCCAGGCCAAGCCTTCAGCCTGTACTGAAGGGGAAGTATGCGTAGCTAGAGAAATATTTTAAGCTGGTAAAGAGCTGAAGCACTGAAGAGCTCAAAGTCCTCCAGGGAAATACCTGTCACCAGCCAAGTGATGACAAGTTGGGTTTTCTAGAGTGTCTGTTTATTTAGGAAATCTTCAGATCTTGTTTAACTTTCACTATTTTTTTTTCTCTCTCTGAGCATGTTGCCATCCAGCAATGTGTCTCATCCAAAATATTTGCTTAGTGTGACTGTTTCTGATCCACTTCTAATCCATCATGTATGCCGGACCCAAGTCACTGATGCACACTGAAACGCCTCTAGGTATTGAAATTGAAAATTGCAATTTAAAATACGTAGTTATTTTATACAGTGAAAGGAATAATAATCCAGCTGTTGGTTTGTCAGCGGAGACGCTCTTAATGTAATTACATAAGACGGACCGAAGAGCCTGTGTGAGCGGGTGCTGGTAAAGGGCTGGCTCGTTTGGAAAAAGGACCGTCTGCTTAGTGGGGGAAAGAGGAGTAAGCGTTTGAAGATGAATAGCCAAGGTGCAGATGACTCGGGGCTGGACGGGAGGTGGCAAAAGCATTACAGCTTTGTGTGTTTGGTTTTTAAACAGACTTGCAAGGTTCTCTGAGCTGCCAGCTCTACCCGCTGAAGCAGAGCTGCTTTTGTGTTGAAATCTAAATAAAAGGAAAACGCGGCCCGCGTGTGACTGTAGGAATTGAGGTATTGCCATACTGGGAGAATGGTGGGGGTCCGTCTGCACAAGGCTGCATTCCCTGCAGTTTCTGCTCCTCTGTGCCTGACTTTACTGCGTGTTGGACCATCTTAGCACTGTATTTATGCAGGTAAAAGCTTACCCTGGCAAAGATTCCTTCAGGCACCTAAATCCTCTCTGATCTTTTCAGCACAGCCCAAAACTTCTAATGAATTGTTTTTGATCCTTCCTGCCACAAGATGAGCCATCTTGTCTCTTCCTCAGGAGCTCTTCGTTCCCTTTTTAAGGTTTCTGGAAGTCATCTTTCCTCTTTCACATCATCGTCTCCAGCAAAATACCAAACACTTCCCTTTATCCCACGCTGTTGCCCCTCGTCAAGGGCAATCGGTGCCTGATGATCTTCCTAGCCAAGCTAAGGGTCGCTTCTCCTTTCCTTTCTAAAATCTCATCTTGGATTCTTTCTGATCTACGGCGTTGATGAGGAGCACCGGTATGGCTTTTGGAGCTTGGCTCTGTGTTCCCTGTGATGGTTGGTTCCTGTTCAGTTGCCTTGTTTGCTACTGCAAAGCAGATATGTGCAGATAGAGGAGAAGGTATCCCATTTGCCTAGGCTCCGGAGCTGGTGGAAGGTACGGTAGGAGATGACGTCTTTTCAGAGGGGAGATGTCCTGGTGCAGCATAAGGCTGGCAGGAGAAGCAGGCAGAGAGCCGGAGCGTGCAGCACAGCGGATGCCAAGAGGAGCAGGCAGCAGACACGCAGGCAGGCTGCAGAGCTGGCAGAAAGGCAGATCTTGGGTGTAGATACGGGGCTGTGCAGAAGTCGTCACGACTCTGAAAGCGGCTGAGTTGCTGGAAGCGAGAGTGAAAGAAAAGAACTGCCCCAGAGCGACGCTGGGGAGGAGCAGGATTGCAAATCCATCAGGAATGATGAAAATCTGTTAGTTCTTAGTATTAATGAAAAATACTCATTGGAGGGGATGCGCTGTATTTTTTCTGTACTAGACACGCTTGAATAAATCAAAGTGGATGTCAAATATTGGGTCTAAATTTCCCTTAAGTCTATAGAGCTTTAAAGGTGGGCTGTTGGTAGCAACCATCCTTTGCCCTCGATGTCCCCACCTGCAAGAACTGGGTTGGCGTGTATAATTCGAGGCCAAGTTGTATGAATTATAGAAGCTTATTTGGAAGGAAAAGAAGCAGCAGTCTCCAAATGGAGGAGAAAGTCACTTTTTCACATCACTCACTGTGTCCTCTGTCCTCTGCTTGGGGCTTTGTAGCTCGCAGATACATATCTATACGTACAGTGCATGTTTTCTGTGTGTATGGTCTGTACTAAACATCTGAGTTCACGTTATTGTCTTTTTTTTTTTTTTTTTCCTCCAGGGGAAAAGCTGGATTACAAGGCCTGTGAGGCACTGGAAGAAATTTTCAAACGGGTCCAGTTCAAAATTGTTGACTTGGAGCAAACAAACTTGGATGAAGATGTAAGTGATGTAACTTGTCCCAGCTTCTTGCTTCCGTTTCACAATTAACAAAAACCTTGCAGGTTTTGTGGTCAATTCTGAAGTTGCATTGACATCCCAGACAAGCTGCAGGGCAGATTTGGCCTCTGCCATGTTGCTGTTGCCCTTTCCCTCCATATACGTGTTTTTATTTGGGTCTGTTGGCACAGCATTTGCTGTTCCAAAAAGGAATAGGTTGAATGCTATCGCTGAAGCCCAGATGGCCAGGAAGCTCAAAGGCATTTTAAATATGTATTTTAAAATCTGTTTTGAAAGCCGAGGGAGTTATGGGCAGCTCTCAGCCTTGTAAGAGGAAACGTCAGACTGCTTCGCTGAACGGCTTTTCTGCGCTGAAGAAGGGCGTTCAGGCTCCGCTCTGCACATCCAGTCCTGTAGCGACTTGCGGTCTGCATTCCTGGCGCTGCCTGGGTGTGTTGGCGGAGCCCGGGGCCCTGAATTCAGGTCCCGACGGGTAAGCAAAAGAGGAAATTATTTGAACCAGCTTTGTAGAGTATTTCAGTGCAGGCTCGCTGCAGTCCCCTAACTGTGCAGGGTGATGGGTTGGGTTCTTCCAGGGCTTGCCTGTTTCCTTAATGGTGTTTATCGAATAACAAAGAAAGGAAGCCATAAATCCTGAGTGCTGCTTAGCTGTGCTCTGCTAGGGGGTCTCTCCTGCTTGTTCCTTGGCTGTCCCTGCTGTAGCAGTATCCACACTCTCCCTGAGGGCTGGAGTCTTGCAAGGTATAAAGCCAGAGTTGTGGCCTGAGTGCTCCGTTGCCCTTTCTGACTTGGGCCTGGCCAACCAGAGCCTTTTTCACCCCTTTAACTCTTTCCTTTTTGTGATGGTCACTTCTCAAACTTGGCCTCTTTTCCCCCTCTGTGCTAAATTGAGGTTGGGAGGCTGGGGCAGGCTTGCTGCAACTTTCCTTAGTAGTGTTTCCTTGCTATCCATGTTTCCCTCTGCTGACGCTTGATCCAAAGTTGCTCTCCCGTTGCCCTAGAATATCCCGTTTCTTGTAGTCCTCGTTTCTGTCTCTATCTTTCCTTTTCCTCTGCTTTCACCCTTACGTCGTGTTGTCTATCACCATCCTGAACCTGGCTTAGATCTTGGGTCTCGCCTTAGTCTTGCTTGCTCGGAAGCTTTTGGTGCCGAGGGGGTTTGCAGCATCTGTTGCTGCAGAGAGGACAAGGTCTAGCAGCTCTTTGGAAAGGCTCAGCAATTAAGGAACGATTCTGGGCTATCAGCCACATCTGATAAGAAGAGGCTAACTGGGGAAAAATATGACTTTAGGCTGTGGCTCCTCGTTTGATCCTTTGATGATTTGAATTTCTTACTGTCCCTGGCTCCTCTTGGGGCTGTGCTGACGCAGCTAGCTGGGATCTCGCGTGACTTGGGCGTTTGGGGAACGGGCCTTGGTGGGTCACGAGCACGGGAGGGTTTTTGTTGAGTTCCCTGAGCCGGTTGACCACGCTGCAGCCCAGGAAGGGCTATGCTGAATACTTTGGGGGTGGAGGTAAAGAGATTGGAGACCTTGCTTTAAACTTTTCTCTTCCGGTTAAGTTAAGCAAGACAGTCTGTGGGGTATCTAAAGTGTCATCAGCATTGCTAGTTGCTACTGGGGTAAAATTTAGCCTCAGATGGCCTTTAGAAGGGTTAATACTCCTTATTTTGCAACTCTGGGACATCTGCTGACTTCAGGGCCTATCAAAAGAAAAGGTATCATTAGAATCCTTGCTAATAATCAGGTTGGGACACAAGCACTTTCCCATTTTTAAAATTCATCTTGCTTAACCTACCCCTCTGACTGGGCAGATATTCAAAATATTGCTGCTCTGATGGGGGAAAATGTGACTTTGCAGCTAAATAAATGAATCTGTGAGCGCTTTTGTAGCGCTGCACTTTGGTCTGCCTCGTATTTTTCTCCTTTTTGCCCTTTCCTCCTGGTGCTGTGTGCCATCTCAGCTTTCTTTTTGTTAGACTAAGCAAGTCAGCCCCCTTTTAAGTTTTACCTTGCAAAATAAGCTTTTCCGTTCCCCTCACAGTCCTCACAGCTCAAGAAAAGACGAATTCAACCTGAAATACATTGTGGGAGGTAGGTTTTATAGACCAGACCTTACTAGATCCTTGTACAATAACAGTAATGCTCTTGTCTCCGTACTGAAGAATCTCTGATTCATCTCGCGTCAGCAGGCTTTTTTCCACGAGTGCGTCACACCGGTGACTTAGTCGCCTCGTGACTGACTAACGTACTCACATTTTTCCCCCCCTCATAGTTTCCTACTGATGAGCACCTAATTTACAGTAGAAAGTCTTGTTCTTTCCTGAAGACCTGTTCTTTGGTTTGCATTTTGTGCTGCTTTTTTCCAGTCCTCCAGGTCTCTCTGCATATTTTTCCGCAGGACTTGCAGCGCTCCGTGGCTCTTTGCTCTGGCCGAGATAACGTTCGGCTAATCTTATCAGCCGATGCGCCTAATATAATTAAACACGTTCTTCAACTTCTGTTGTAAAACTTGCAGATGTTTCACGGGCGCAAGTGCTTTTCTGCTAAGCTTTTTCTGCTCTCAAGCCTGAATGTAAATTCTGATTTTGAGCAGGGTTGGATTCTCGGGTGCTTTCTTGGCAGAGTGACCCGCGAGGCTGCGGAAGAGTCTCTGCGCGTGACACCTGAAACAGGTAGATGCAGCGCTGCACAACCCTGCAGGAACGTTCTTGCTTTGACCCTGGCGGTGGACAAACTCAGAGCAAATAAACTGGCCTCCATTCAGATATTTTTAGGAAAACCATTTTCCTGTGTCCTTGGAAGCATTTATTCAAGTGTCTGGGTGTCTCTGCTGCTATAACTTGCTCTGGTTGAGTTTGCTGTCTCTCCCAGAGCTATGAAGGTTGGGAGTTGAATTTCTGTTTGGCTTTAATATCTACACGTTGTAAGTCTCCCTGCAATCAGAGGAAAAAACATCTTCCTTTAAAAAAAGATCTTTTCCCGCATTTGCAGACTTCTCTACTGATTTCTTTTGCACCTTTTTGAATTGCTGTTTAGACTCCAGACAGTGTCTCAGGTAAGGATGGATTAAACGGTGTCAGCAGAATATTGCTGCTTGATGAGAGCTGCTTCTAGATTTGCTGTCTTTTGGGGGTGCAATCTGAAACAGAAACTTCTAAGAGTCTTTGAAAAGACTCGTTCAGTCTTTAAAACTTTTGCCTACCCTATGGATACAAGTCTACACGCTGGCCACTTTGGCAAATGTACTGTTGCGGCCCGAACTGCGTTTCCCGTCTCTGCGCGGCACCTCTGCGGCCGCAGTTCCCCGCGTGCGGTGATACGTGGCAGTGCTGCGCTACTTTCCCGTGCGGAGCCAATGGATAATTTGGCGTCGCGGGCAGGTGTGATACTTGACAGACGGGTTTAAGGTCAGGCTCCTGCTGGCTTAAATGCTAAACAAGAGATGAGTAAAACGCAGCCAGCGTGAAGGTCCAAAGCCAAACCTGTGCGAAACCCGCAGCTGTCGGTGATTCATAGGGCAGTGGTGTGCGCTCGGACTCCCGCCCGTTACAGCAATTTCCTGCTGCCCTCTGCCTCCGGTTGGTGCAAAGTGGCTGCTCAGATTTATTCATTGCAATATTCTTTGGCTTTTACTCCAGTCTGGCCCAGTAATCGTGATCTGCAACACGCAGCCTCTCTCTTCCTGCCTTTAACTCGGAGCTCCCTCTTTGGAGGAGCGGGACCAGTACAAATCCCTCTTTGTTGTGACCGGGAGATGGTGGTATCTGTGCAGCCTTTTTCAAGCTCTTTGTGTGCAACCGGCTCATAGAGAGACGCTCTCCAAGCACAGGCTCTATCCTGTTCCCTGTCTCAGCCCTGTGTCCTAGTCTTGTGAGTCACGGCCTGGCTGGGAACGGACCGCCTTGCCGTTCCCACGGGCCGCGCTCCGAGAAACGGAGCTGCTGCGAGCACGGCCTTTAGCTGGCAGACAGCCCCGAGCAGGAACGGCTGCGGCGGAGCTCCCGTCCCAGCCTTGCTCCGGTCCCCGTCTGCCCTGGCGGCTGCTCCAGGCCTCGGCTTCTCCTCGATCTCAGCTCCCTGAACGTGGCGGGGTTTGCACGGCGGCTGCTGAGCTCCGCCTGCTCATGGCCGAGCATCTCGGCAGCACCCACGGAGGTAGGGATGGTTCAGCGACGTCCTGTCTGCTGGGATGAAATCCATCTCCTGGAGCAAAACAGCACGTCTAGTTTAAAACGTAATGGTTTTTCTTTAGGTAGAACTTGTTTTAGGTGCAGGTGTCCAGATAAGGAGGCAGCTCTGCTGTGGCTGAGGGACCACCTTGGGGTTTTGGGAGCTGGCAGGTGATTGTACAAGCAAACTTCAAGCTTCAGGGCATGTGAACTTGTCACCTGAGATGCAAATTCATTTGCACTTGAGGTTGAAGGGATAATACATACTGCCTGGGCTGCCTTGAAGGGATCACAGAGCTTGTCTGCAAGAGCTTAATGACTTAATATCCAAGTGGTTACCAGAGGCAGCTGGAGGAGCCTGGTAGGTGGGACGGTTCATGCCTGAATTATTTGCATCCTGCAGAGGAACAGCACTTCCCTTCCCGCTCTGGTGCCTTGGACACAGCAAATGCTTTCCCTTCTCAAAAGCGATCTGGATCATTCTGGCTCGTATGAAGCGCAGCACAACCCCTTGCCGTGCCTCTCTGCCCTGTCCGTTCCCGTCGCAGTCCACGTGGGGCCCGTGCGCCAGCCGTGCTGTAGCTGCGTCGGCAACTTGCGTGCGCGCTCCGACTGTGGCGAAGGAGGGTTTGTATTTTGGGCTTTTCACCGGCTCATCTGGGATTTGAAAAAACGAAGAGGAAAGGGGAACGAACAGGTTGGGAATGTGGTGTCAGTCTGATCAGATGTGGCCAGCTGGAATAATCCCCACGGCTTTGGCTGGGCTGCAGGTGAGACAGGTTCCTCGGGCTTTGGAAGAACGAGTGTTTGTGGCCTTTCAGAAGAGGCACCAGAAAGCAGCGTTTCCGCACCAGAAAGGAGCGTTATAACCCCATGTTTTGGCTGAGAGAAGCTCAGTCTGTCTGCTAACAACCTGTTAGCTTCACGCTTGTCTCCTTACAGCTGTGCTGCTTCCCTGCATTAATGCAGCTTTTGACGACTTTTGCGTTTCTCTCCGTTTTGCAGGGTGCCTCGGCATTGTTTGACATGATCGAGTACTACGAGTCAGCAACGCACCTCAACATCTCGTTTAACAAACACATCGGCACCCGAGGCTGGCAAGCAGCTGCGCACATGATGAGAAAGGTTTGTGCTAGCTCCTGGATGCTTTTGGCGCCCACTTTTTACGCTGCGCTTTCAAACCTCTGTGGCTCGTCCCGTGGTCTCAGGGGAGTTTGGGACGAGGTAGGAATGGTGTCGACTCCCTCTGCGCTGTGGGTATGGACGCGCTCCTACAGCTAACTTTGAGTTACAGTGGGGGTATTCCAAAACCAGAAAGCAGAAGCAAGCTGCTCTCGTGGCTGTGGTTGTGGTTTGAGATTAGGAGGGCTGGATTGCGTTTCCAGGACTTCCAGCTCCCCCAGCATTAAGCCACCTGGATGGATAGTCCCTGCCGCAGTCGGTGCAGTGGAGCGAGGCTTGGAGCTGTGCTCGTGGAGAGGGACCTCCGCGTGCCGGCTGAGCCAGAGCATTGCAGCGCCGCGATGCCTCTGTGATTTGGGGCTGCTGCTTTGCAGGTGTCTCGCTGTTGGTGCTCTGGAAGCTATCTGCTCTCCGGCACGGCAGGGAACAAAGGGTCAACGGTCTCAGTAAATATTTCCAGACTGGAGTAAACAACCAAAGCTTAAGGTTGATGGTTCTTGAGCTTCAAGTACACGATGGAAACTTGTTTTCTTGTTTCCTGTAAATAGTACATCTTTAAGAAAACCCGTGCGCCATATGAAATGTTTCACCAATCAGTGCTCTCCCAGTGGCAGTCAAAAGGCCTAATACGTGTCTGTGGCATCTGTCCAAGAGCAACATGCAGCTTGCATGAAAAGTCACTCGAAACACACCTGTTTACTTTCACTCCTGTTTCAGAGACCATAGCTGCAATTGTGTGTTCGTCTTTATATAGTTTCTGTCCAGAAAAACAGCAATTCAGAAAGACCTGGCTAATAAAGGGAAGAGGTGGGAAGTGTTAGACTGCGTATGAGGTTAACTAGCTCCCCACATGAGAGCTTCAGCGCAGACTTCTTGAACCTCTGTCCTGTGTCTGAACCACAAACCGTCAGCCCTCAAAATTCAACGTGTTGGTCGGAGACTTGGAACTGGCTCGTTTTGATGAAACAGCGCTCAGCCAGCGCGCAGAGCGACTTGATTTGCAGCTAACATCTGCTTTAGTGAGGGTACAGCACGATCTGGGGAGTTTTTCTGAATGTCCTTTTCTGATATTGTGAAGATCGGATGCCAAGGAAAGTTGGAGCTGAGACTATAACTTGAGTATAACGTGAATATAGCCCTTGCAGATCAGTGTTACAGCAGTTTGCAGCTAGCTGGCTGTCGGGGCATTGCACAGGAGAATGTTTCCCGGTACCATACTGTGATGCAGGAGAAGTCGCACTTCCCACCTGCCACGACACACTTAGGATGTTACTTAATGCCTCATACTGAGAGAATAGCTCCAGAGAGCTGCGCAGACGTGAATTATTTTTGACGTTTGTTCTCTCTTCTTGTTTTGGCTTATGAAAATGTTAGGTGGGGAGGAAACAGCGCGTTTACAGAAATAGTCCTGATACATCCTTCCCAGCTCCCGTGTTAAAACTGCAGCGTGGTTCTGCCCAGCAAAAATTAAGATATTGATGGGAGCGTTTCGGTGAACTCTTGACGCATACCAGAGAAAGAGACTTGAAACGCAAACCTTGGCCAAAAAAGAAAACAAATAGATTATTACTAAATGCGTGTTTGCAGGGGCAATCTCTTGATTTTGATACTCGTTATCTGTTTTTGCAGTAGGATGACTAGCGTAGGTGTTTGACTTCACAGGCGCAATTAATCGTATTGTTCAGCCTTCGAATTTGCTCCGAAAGCCAAACAGAGGGGAGGCAGCGGGCTGCTGGCTCCCCCCCCGCCCCCGGCGCAGGGAAGCGCTGGGGCCGGATGAGGCAGAGCAGGGCCACCTCGCGCGTGTGGAGGGTGTGGTGCAAAGCCACCCTAGATCCACAATTATATCTCTACCTGCTAATTTGCGCCATCGACACTTCCAGTTGCGTTGCTGCCGCGGTGCTGAGGCATTGCGCAATGCCAGTTTGAAAGCTCGTGGTCAAAGCTGGTCCCAGTTGCATGAGACTCGGGCGCGCTCGCTGTGCCTGAGCGACGGAGTCGGGAACGTGGGAACTGGAGCGAGTAAGATCTAGATGCAGGCATGGGTAAGGACAAACCTATAGCCAGGAGTCTGACGCATCTGACTCTGAACAAACTGTTCCCGATCCGTGGCCGTGGGTTTGCAAAAACCGAGCTGTGCATGATCGGCGCAGAGGCGTCTATTTAAGTTTAGGAATTGAATAAAGTTTATAGCGGGAACAAAGGCACAAGGCGAAAGCTGCGGCCAGCGGGACTTAAGGATGAGGAGCAACATAAGCGTGATACGAACGAGCTCAGGCTGAGCCTGGATGGGGTGGGATGTTTGTCCGTGATAGAAAAGGACCGCAGCGCACGCTGTGTTTTGGAGGAAGAGCTGAGTGTCGCCATGCGTTGTTATAACACATCTTAGATGCCTTAAAACCAGCAAATCAGTCGCTTCTACTCATGCATGTCGAAAGAGCTGGCTGAGAAACCCTCTGGACTGCAGCAGGCTCTTAATTTCTTGGATGGAGAGGGAGAATCCAGGCTTGAAAAAGAGCTTATGTTGCAGCGTTGAAAAGAAGTAAGAAAGATGAATTAATTAAGCTGAGGCCTATCAACCTGACGTGGCTCTTGACCAGAAATAAACGGTGTGCGTGAACCCCGCCTGGACCCTAAGCTTGGAGTAACCCCAGGAGACCTGTGCTCTACTGAGCTCTTGTGTGGTTTTGAACTCCTGTTTTAGGGCATTTGTATCATCTCCTGATAAAGGCCGTGAAAGTTGACCCCACGTGGCCGCTGGGGAGGGTTTTGATTGCTCAGTTGCTTGCAGCTGAGTAGAAAAATTGTCTATAAAGAAGGAAAGAGTATAGAGGAGGTTGTTACCGGAGCTGAGCGGTGAGCGAGCTGGGGGGATGCAGCGCTGGCTAGAGAGCTTGCGTTACCCGCCGTGAGTTTTCCCTGCGTGTGTAGCCGTCTGCGCGGGGCACACGCAGGGAATTTGGGACATCTGTCTCCCCCTAAGAGTTACTTCTGCCCCGACTGGGTTATAAAGGCGTCACCTGGTACGTCCGGAGCCGTCGCTGCTGCTCCAGCTGGGACTCAGCTCCAAACTGCCGCAAACGCTTGGGCTGTCCGCGCGTAGGTGTCTGAGCTGGATTGCCGGTTTTTCTCCGCACGGATCCGGTGCCTGCAATCGGCGGAGCCTGGAGGGTGATTCAGCTCGTCCGAAGTAGACACCTGCACCTACGAGTCTCTAGCTCTGAGCTGAATCCCAACCAAATGGCTGGTGTCCTCAAAGCTGGCTGGACACAGGTTCCTAGAGCAAAAATCTGGATAGCTTAAGGCAATATAGCCCTTGGATATGTAAGGATGGAGGTAGGTTTTTGTTTGGAAGAGGCCAGGCACTTGGCACTGCAGTGATCGCTTAAAAGACATCCACCCCAGTGCTGCAGTTCGAGGAGGGTGACAAAAACTTGACAGGGGTTCGGGGGAGATTCACGTGCAGAATTAGGGGTTGGAAATGGGACTTTTCAGAGCGAGAAGCGAGCTGCAGGACAGCTATACAAAAACGCTTATGGAAATGCACTTCTCGGTCCGAGTTTTGACCTTGAAGCTGCAGAGACTGAAGGGGAAAAGGCCGTATGTTTTCGGCAGCGAGGGCAACGGACCGATGGGGTGATTTAAGAGCGTCAGGCAATTCTCCAGGAGTGCGCGAGCCCAGATTAGGTGTTTATCTAAAATTATCTAGTTTGAGCACGGAGCTAATTTTGGGCTGTCCTGGTGGGTGCGCAGAAGGCAGCCGGCTGGGTTATCAGCACGCTTCCTTCTGGCTCTTAATCTCTTATCTAAAGTCCACGGGACAACCAAAATAACGTTTCTGGAGGGTGGAAGTCGTCTCGCCAGCTCCTCTCCGAGAGGCGCGGAGGGAACGAGCCCTCGGGCGAGACGGCGGCTGTGCTGCGGCGGGGGCATTGGGCCACCAAGCGCCCAGCTCACCCATCCCAGCATGGCCGGGATGGGACACGGATTAGCATGTTCAATAACTTAGCCTCAAACCCTTCACACTTGGGGAACGGCAAGCAGCAGTGGGGAGAAGGGCAGCTTTGAAGGAAAAGGAGGCGAATGCCCGGAGGTGCCCCTGAGGCTTGTATTTTTTTTTTCGGATCTCCCTGCTCTTTTGGGAACGGAGCAATTGTTGCTGTGAAGCGCAAGCTCCTGCCGAGCTGCCCCGTCCTCTTTAGGCCAGGAAAATCAACCACCGCCCTTGTCCAGGGGGTTTCTCTGAAGCATCAAAAGGCCCGCGTCT